CAAGAAAAAATTTACCTTAAATTATTTATATTTAAAAACAATTTATATATTAATAAAATATTTTTCCGATATTTCGACTATTTTCGGGAGTCATCTTCAGGAAAACTGAACCTTAATTTTATAAAGAGACAATAGAGTAAACAAAATGTTCACATAAAAAATTGCTACTTTAATTGTTATGTGTTTTGTAAAAACAAGAATTTAACACCAGAGAAGCAATTATAATCATATAAAATTATTATTAAGATAATCAAAATTAATATCTAGTACTTACTATCAAAAACTCGAAGGGTTTAAGCCATAATTTTCTTTAGTTACGGCACAGATCAATTTTAAGTAACATCCCATTATTTTTTTAATATGATTCCGTGTTTAAATACATATAAAAATTATAAGAAAAGAGAGTTAATTTTTAGTGTTTAAGGGAACATAGCGTCAAACAACTCTTTTCGATAAAAAAGTTTAGTCAAAAGAATATCTGTTTCGTAAAGGAATTATTCAAATTGTTTGATTTTTATAACTATTTTAAGTTAATTAAGATTAAAACTTTCTATCTTATTCTGCTTTAATAAATTCATAAGTTATGGTAGGTCAAAGTTGATTTTTTGAAACTTTGTTTATTATTTTTACAAGAATTCTTCTTCTTCTAGAAGCCTTGTCCGCTTCGAACGTCTCTCGAAAAAGTCATCATGGACTTTTATTGCACCATTGATATAAATTTTTCAGCCATGATATCTTTCTTAAATTTTTAGAATATTTGAATAATTTGTTGATTATTTTTAATATAAAAATACGTTATCTCTATCGTATATTTATATTTATATACTATATCATATATTCATATATGTATATATCATATATCATGATATATGATATCGATATCATAGACAGATTTAATTATATCCCTATCATATATGTAGGCATTTATTCTACATATATCCATATATATATTCACCACTTCGTAAAACAAATAGACCACCGCTTTTTTAAGCATGACATAGTAAGACACCAAAAAAAAATAAATAACAAACAACAAAAATATTTATTATTAAAATCTCTTATAATAAATAAAATCTTAGTTAAATCTATATAAAATATAATTCTAAATAATCTTCAATAATGCAAAATTTAACGTTTTTTTGTTAATTTCCCCGATTTAGTTATAAACTCCGATCTAACCTCATTCTCGCCAGGTATCTTAGGAAACTTTGTAGGAAACAAAGTTAAATAGAGCTCTAAGCATGTTGGATCGGAAGGTGAAAACTCGGACAATAGTTGAAAGATACTCACTCGTGGTGTTTTTGTTTTATCAGATACTATATCAAACATTTCTTCAGTTTGAGGCACATACTCCTTGCAAAACTTTAATTTTTGAAAATATTATTAGTTTTTTGCTTATCATTAAATCAAAAGTGAAATTGTTTACTTACAAAAGTAATTATACAAGAAATGAAGAAAAACACAAGAACTGGCATCATTTTGGACTTGAGAATGAAAAAGACTACCTGCGCAAAAGCATTATAAATAATACTTAACAATCCAATTAAGTTTTTCTCCGTACAACTGAGACAGATGTTAATGCATTCTACATTGAAATTATCCATTATATATATAATGTCAAAGATATATTTAATAGTTGATTTTCTGTTATACAATTCTAAATCAGAAAACAAATAAGTATTATTGTATTTTAAAAAATAAATCAATGACATATAAATCTTAATAATTTATTTTAATTTCAATAAATTACGCCAATTGATTTAACTTATACGAATGATATGTTTAGAAGGCACACGATAATTAATACTAATCATTGATATCATTGAGGGTATTGATTGAATCCGGATATAATTTATTACTTTAAATCATGCGTTGGAAATAAGTTTAGTCGATATTCTAGTAAACCCATATCGTATAACCCGTATGGCTTGTTCAATATTGATTTGGATTACCTCGTAATTCGGACTGAAAAAGAGAACGCAAAATATGCACTATGTGAATAGTTATCCAGATCAACGACTGATTCGCTAATTCAAATCACATAGTGGGAATATGTCTTATCCATTTTCTGGTGAACCCGTATCATATTTATGGCTAATGTTTCATTCGCTTATACGTTTTGCTTACTATCCTCCAATTTGGATAACCTCATAGCCCAAATAAAATCAGAAATAAAACAAATTTATATTTTTAAAATAAATTTCCACTTAAATAAAATAATTTACTATATTTTTAATAGTGACTTCCGCGAGCAAAAAGGATCAGTAATCCACATTGACTACACTTTTAGTGTATCCGATTCCATCACATACAATATATAACTATAAACAACAATTAATGTGCTAGTAAACCAATGAAAGTATAAGCAAAAATATTCCTAAAACCTGCCCAATTAGATACAGAGTAGGTACTATGCCCGAAATGATTCCATCTTCTTGCATGGTTCCCCAATCAGCTATGAACTGTGTCCAACCTCACATAAAGCAGCAAAAAGTGCAACAAACAGTTGCCATGGTTTTGGCTTCACCCATAGTTTGGAATCCGTATAAAATTTTATTCATCATTTATCTTAAAAAGGCCACACCTTCAATTCTGATCGTCACATTTGGGTCAAGAAATTGCGAAAAGCTGTTCCATATGAAGTAGAAAAAAGATCCAAGAGAATGCTTCGTGTCACAAGTCATTCATCACTATGGCAAAATTTTACGAATTAGAGTTGAATTGCTTTCACACCTGTCGTATCTTTTTTATTCTCCAGATTTGGCCCTTAGCGATTGCTAACTATTCATAAAACTCAAAAAAAATGTTCCAGAAGAAAAGAATTGGTTTCGTTGAGAAAGTCATCACCGAAAGTAAACCATATTTTTACGTCAAAGATAAATCTTTCTTCAATTCAATTATTGAAATGTTAGAAAAGGGTTGGAATGATTGTATTCCTTTTGGACAAGACTATTTTAGTGGATAAAGTCGAATTTGGCCAAAAAAAATTTTGTATTTTTGGTTATCATATGGACTTACCAACCGATATGTTACTTTATAAACGAATTCTTTGCCTGTCAAGTAGTCGAAGACTACATTCACTTACCTATCTTAATTTAAGAAAGGTACATATTTAGGTATTACTTAAGCAAAAATAATACTGTCCAAAAAAATAAACTCATTTTTCCTGACTTTAAGTTAAGCTATACCCAGTTAAAAATAATATTTTAATTAAATTTGTTACCTAAGCTGATTCCATATTTTATTTTATATTTATGCATAAATTTATTTTAAATTGTTGATGTAGCAATATGATAATATTGTGATTTCGACCTTTTGTTATAAGCCACATCGATATCAAATTGACTTATAACAAATTAAATATCAATTTCAAGTTTTTTTTTCTAGTGCTGGAAATTTTTTTAGGGCTGTTTTTGTTTGAGCGGTATTTACCCAATTTGCATGTTTTATTAAGTTTTTCAAAATGTTTATAAGCATACTCGTTGTACCAACTAGCTAAAAGTATCAAATTGCAAATATTATCAAAAAATTTTTTAATATTAATTTCGATAACGAAAACATCAATAGCAAACAAAATATAATATGTCAATCATGAGAGTCAAAAAAGAAAAAAAAATTATAATAAACAAAAACTAACAAAAAAAAAATCAAAATAATATTAACAAGGCACAAAATATTTTAAAACTTTTAAAAATAAATAATTTTAAAATGTTTTTTAATAAAATTTCAATTTGCTGCAATAAAAGCAAAACCACAACTGCAATAACAACAATGCGAGATCCAACTCATAACGATGTTGCCAGCAGCTATAACAGTTTTAGCAACGACAACAACAACTACAACAATGGCAACAACAACAGGAACAATATAATAGAGAATTACAAAACAATAGAAAACAAAAAGCGCAAAAATAAATTTTAAGTATGAATTTAATTTAATTTTCTGATTGATTTATTTTTTATAAAACTTTTTGTGCTAACAACAATAATTGTAAGGCAGTGCAGGGTAAAGCAGGGCAGAGCAGCAACAGCAAATGTAAAAAAACGGGTAGGAGTCATCATCGTTTTACACCAAAAACATCAACAACAACAACAACAACAATAG